GGTGTATTTTGTTTTGTTTTTAGTGCATTTTGTTTTGTTTTTCGTGTATTTTGTTTGGAAGTCGGTTTTGTTTTTTTATTAAAAAGTTTTTCTATATAGTTGCAGCCTTGACAGACTGGTCGATTTTACGGTAGCATAAACCTATACTTGATAACATATAAATTTATCTTTTGGTATGTAACGAATAAACTTAAAATCTACCGGACCGATTTCAAAAATTCTATTAACATTAGAAAACTACGTTATTATTGGATGATACAGAATTTTTTTTTTAATCTAGACGAAGACGAACGTAGACGAAGTCACAAGCAGAAGCTAATATAATTCGATTTGGATTAAAATGGATTTGTATTACCATTTCATTTTGATTTTCTTATATAAAACTCTCGGTCATTAATCACAAAAGCCCAAGGCACAAGAAAAATGCTAATTCTAAGTGAAGTCGGAGCAAGCGAGGAATCCTCGAGGCGTTATTATGTTAATCCAATTTCGAGCAAATCGCTTGAGAAGCCGTTAATAATTATAGCTAATAGTAAAAATTTCTCGTAAACTTAACGAGACTGGCATAATGACTAAAGTATTGGAGAATACATGAAAATGTTTCATCATCACCAGCTCACTATACGTCCCCACCGAGGGGCTCGGAGCCTACCCTAATATGGGGTGACTAGGCCTTAGTGAAAATGTTTATTAGTCAAATAATCTTTGAAATAAATCGTTTGTATAAATTAATAATAAGAATTACAACTTGATTTAGTTTTTAACAATAAAAAAAATAATTATTTTTTATATAATATACAATTTTTTAAAGTAATATACAAAACGAAAGGAAGTCATTTTAGAAACATTTGATCTTGAATTTTTATTCATGGGGCTTCAGGGTTCTGAACACTTCTACTAACCAGCGTCTATAAAACCCAAGCTTACAGTACTGTTAAATATTTTGACAGAACATGGTAACTAATACAATTAAAATAGAAATGTACACTTACCTAATTGCACGAGTTCTAGTCGTTTGTCCGTAACGAAATGCCAGGGGAAGGCTTTACAGAAGCTTGCAACACCGATCCTCAAGTCTGTTACTTTGCTGGACGACGCGACACATGCGCTGTCACCTGTCACCTCACTGTTATTCCCGATGGGTTTTTGTTGTAATGGAATAGCTTTGATCTCATATCTGTAAAGAGAATCTTGATGAATTTTGATTCCTTGTCTATAAATTTTATACCAATATTATAAAGAGAAAAGATTTGTATTTTTGTACGTATTGTAATAACTCAAAAAATACTGGGCCGATTTAAAAAATTCTTCCACCATTAAAAAGCTGCGTTTGCACTGAGTAATTTATGCTATATTTTTTAATTTCGCGCAAACGAAGTCGTGAGCAACAGTTACTTCAATATAATGGTGTCAATGACCTTAACAGTTTCGTTGTTAGAAGTCCAACCAGTTAGGTCATATTTTGACTGCGCTACGTAAGTTAATTTTGTATATTCGGTGCTTTGCGTTATAATACGACTCAGATCTCATATGGAACCAGGAAACTTATATTTTAATCACTTATCAAACGTTACATTGATACTTTGAGTATTGATTTGAGTAAGCACTCGACCTTTTGAAAAAAGAAAACATTTCAGTTAAACCTACAACATTGTCATATGGAACTTTGTTACATTTTTGTGAGTTTATTTTAGCAAAAATGAACAACGTTTTTAGAGAATTTGCAATGTAAAAGACTCTTGGCGTAACAATATTCGTAACTCGCCATTGACGCCGGTGGGGCGGAGGCGGAGGCGGGGGCGAAGGCGAGGCTGTTTTCTCGCTTTAAAGTTAAGTACAGCAATTTAGCGAGGAAATGCAGCCAGTGTTCTTGGCTCTTTACAGCGAAAAATGACTCTTTATGACGTATTTTCATGTTTAAAAATGTTCTATTAGTTTATATTACGAACTTATTCAAATAATAATTATGTTATGATGGAATTAAATAACTTAAAAGTACTGAAATATCCGTAACATTCTACAGACAAATTCGTGTGTTAAAACTTAGTTTATCTCAGTTTTACTAATCCTAAAACTTCACTGTGTACAATTATAGTCTTTCTATATAAATTCGAACGTTTAGATGAATGGATATTTGTTAGACTATTTAGGAGAGAGTAGCAGGCGTAATCTAGTTATCCATATTTTCAACCCTTCCTTTATTAAAAATAAAACCGAGACGACAAGACGAGAGACAATAATGTTCTAGTGGAAGTGTTTCGACAGTGCAATACCACAGTACAGATAATCTAAAGCAATACAAACTTGAATCTCCTTGGGTCGTTCGTGTAACTCATCAGTCTTATGTCCGCTTGCGTGTCGTAGAGACTTCTCGCAATCGCTTTAAGACTTCCCACTAATAAATAAGCGACAGGCTCGCATTCTGTTGTCAGATACAACTCGATTTTCCCTCTTGATGTCGTACAAACAAACGCAGCTTCGTACTCTACTGTTTCATCTTTGAGAACATCATCCTGAAGGAATAATATACATTTAAACTCTTAACGTTAACAGTAAACTCAAAACAATTACTTTAGCCGTTTTACTAAATAACGTTTACACATTAGATTATGCATGTCAAATTAAGGTTTTTAGGCAGAATCGACACGCATAACTGTTTTCGATAATACATATATTTGGACTTTGGCACTTGCAAAATCCTAGCGTGTACTTACACGCTAGGATTTTGCAAAGTAAACCGTGTATGGTCTAAAACGTCATTCAAATCTAACGTGTGTGGCCTGCATAATGTGCATGGAACTTTCTTAAATTTTAACATACTTATTTCTCCATCAGATTATGAATTAATTTTAACATCTTATTAAGTGCGTATAATGAAAATAATGATCGTACCTGGTCATGTAGTACATCATGTACACTGTCCAGTGTGGTTAAAAACTCTGTTAAATTCGTCCCAAGACATTTAAACGCTCTCTCCAACCGACAGTTATGTGAAAACGCAGTTAATATTAGGTATTCTCCTAATTTTGCCATGAAATCTTCTGTATTTAAACCTATGGAGAAATGTTGTGGTTGAGAAATGTTTAACTAACATACAGAGAAATGTGAACTTATAATAATTTTACTGTTCGATCACACAGCTACTCGACTGAGTCAAGTAATTTTGTGGTGAGTCAAACAAAAGATTCGAACACTTCATAAGACAATGTGATAGACAATATGATATTTAATCAGTGGTGAATAAAGCCATTCATAACCTTAATATAGGCCTCGTTATAATGCAGTTATGTTCCATACAATTGTGAGTCATGGATGTGAGGAACATTATATGCTAATGAAATTATATTGCGTATTCAAATATTTATTCATTTCCTAAACTTGAGCGGAATATTAAATAAGAGATTTTAAGATTAAAATTAAAAGTACAAATTACAGAATAAAGTACAAATCTTGTGATTACAAAGTTATCATGGTTTTAATATTAGTTTTAAAAATATATAAATTACACTCACTGTCAGTAGCACGGACTGCGTCATATATTTCTTCTAAATACGCGTAATTTTTCCATGTTTTTACGTCATCGGGCAATCTTCGTCTGTATAAAATGGAGCTGTTTATTAATTAACAGCTAAATTAAGTGGAATTTATAACGTTATTAATTAATTTATGTATAACTAAATGCAGCTTATTTAACGTTCTTTGAAATATGAAATAGACATTTCTACATAGCTTAGAAAATTAGATAAAATGAATTGTTTTCTTTGTCCTTTTTATTTAGGAACTAATTGTTTTCCTATAATAGGGAAGGGATTGGCTCCTGCGATGCAACCTAGTGTTGGAGCCAAGACTTCCATGAAATGTAATTAAATTAATATAAAACAATGAAGCATTTCAAACAATAAAGCAATTTAGACAAAAAAAAATGTACCAACTTTCACACTTCTTTACAATACTGTTTTCTTATTATAGCTATGGTTAATAAGCTATTATATACCAAGGAATTTTATGAATTTATTTCAATTATTTATATTAATATTAGATACTTACAAACAATTGTACTTGTCATAATGCTCCGCCTGGTTCTTCGTTAATGCTGTCACCGCAGCGTGAAGGCAATCATTCTAAACAAACCGTTTACATTTAATTCTTAACTACAAATTAACATTTTACAAAGTATTTTTTTATTTATGTTAAAATGACATTTCAGCGTCATGTCTCTGTAATCGACGGTATTCACAAAAAAGTAAAACGAAGATTAAATTTATTTTAGGATAATAATTGTTAGATTTCTATTAACAAATATTATATTCCCATTCTAGCCACCGCGACCATTAGCTCCAAGATGGCGGAAATAGAAAAGATAAAAATGAAATGAAAGACCATAAATAAGACTAGTAATATCTTCAAATTATTGTATAAAACTAAAAACTGCAAAATTATTTTGTTCTTTAGCAACTTATAATTTAGTATTTATAAAAAGATATAAGAGTACATTGTAAGATATTTATTTACTAAACGAAAAAACAAAAATCGTACAAAAGGTTAGCTAAGCATCACGTAAAAACTTTTGGAGGCTCGCCAGATATAAAAGGGTCTGCTGTAGGTAATTGGATCACGTAGCAGCGTTTGGTATGTTCTACCTAGTATTTTAAATTTAATAAACAGTGGTATAGAACAATTTTTAGCACAAACTTTCGCCAATTATACTGTGAAAATTTTTTCTTGTTAATTCTACTAGAAGCTGTTGAATTGACACAAAAGAAGGTCATTAAAGGACCAATTCCTAGTAATCAATATTGAGGAATAAGAAACCGGAGGGTGACAAAGAAGAATGCGAGAAGGTTCCTTTAGCGTAGATTTAGTACAAAAAATCTGCGCCATAAGACTCGTTATCTAATCATTAAACAAGTTTGAGTTCGTTAATAATTATTTTAATCTATTTTTGACGTTATTTTTGCAATTATCAAATACTTTTCATCCCTACATTATCGAGATCAAAGGCAAGTAATCCAATGAATATCGTATTGAGCGGATTTTCCAGTCTTCGTGCCTCGTAACGGGAAGCCGTAGGAATACGTGCCGTGTCTGAGGCTCAGCGGGAACTAAATAAATTTATTTTAAGGTTAAAAATATTGTTTGTGCACACTACTAGATTTTTAGTTGAGCAACTAAACAGTTAAATGGGCTACGAAATTTTTGGGGTGTTCTAACATGACTAGTGCCAAGACTATCTTCTGTAATAAAGCCATTTTTCTTTTTACTTTATTTGAAAATCAAACTGCTGAAGAAGTAGAGATAGGACTACTGCTTAAGAAAGGAGTTGATCCAGATATAACGGGCTGATAGATGTGCATGGAAGAGCATCACATTTGTACAGACCCTTCTTAGAGACAAGGACAAGTTGATGAAAATGATGATAATTATTAATGCCATTTATATTCTATCTTTAAGAAATGGCCATAATCTTGATCCGCGGATGACGCCTTATTCGTGCCCTAATTGCCTAATCCCTGTCTTTAATTCGAAAGATGTATCGTTACTTTAAACAAGATCTTTTATAATGTCCTAATGTTAGCAGTTACGTGACCCACACGACCTGAATACATTACTGTCAATATAAACTACAGTATAAATGAAGTAGAATGTGTTTTATTGTATTGTTCAGCACATTGATGCCAGAAACGTGTGCAACCATTACTCACGAGAACGTTAAAGTTCTTTGATATTAAGTAAAAAGTATTTTCTGTTCAATAATTCTTATAAAAGAAGACAGAAAAATACCATACATTCAAAGTGTTACTTCTTGTACTCTATTCTTCTCAAATTTTTGTATACACTTGCATATTTTGCTAGAAATTGCTAGTCAATAAATATATGGAAATAATGTTTATGAGCTGTGCTTACGTAATTCTGGATCTAAACGCATTTCACGTCGGTTATCAATTAGACAAACATGACAGGCAACTATAATTCATCGCTTAAGCTTCCCAAAATATCTTGAGTACTCAGTTTATAACCGATTCTAAATTTAGATAGATAAAGTGAGAATAACAAGAACGGAAAATTAATTCAAAGGCAGTTTAAGAATTTACCATCGACATTAAGTATAATGAAGATTACAACAACTATAAAAACAGAATGGCCACTTTTTAAAATAATGAAACTTCTCTACCGTTATCTACTCTTTGTTCCTTCTATCGTACCTTTTTCGTAACTCAACACCTTAAGTGATCGAACTGAGGGATTACGTTACAAAGGAGACGAAGCCTCTTTGAAGAAAAGTAAAAAGAATCCTGCGTCAAAACATATCGGATATCTAATGGACCGGATATGTTGACACAATAAATGATTACTTGCGCACCGTGATACAAAATAGGATCGGCTTAATTTATCTTTGAAGATTAAAGGTTATTACTTTTTCCTTTTTTTGGATTCAACACCTTTATTTTTTCATAATCATCATCCTGTTTCTAGACGTCTTTACTAACTGGCACACAGCCTACCCTGAGTTAGGAATGACTAGGTCTTAGTCAACCTTGCTGACTTACAGCGGGATGATTGACTTTACCAATATCTTTTAAATGTCTTCGCTGATAGGCGTAGTTTGGACCACGGTGTTTTCCTTCACCGTAAAAATGTCGGGTACATATTTACATCTGCCATTAGAAAAACACATTGGTACATTTTATGCCTGTAGAATTATAATTATTAAATTATATCACGGTTTATATATTAACGTATCATAGTTAGTTTGTTTTCTAATTTCTACTTATAAATAACATGGTTTTAAGAGATAAATAACTATAGAAAATTTATGTCGCATCAGTTTTTGCTTAAAGAATGAAGCTACTCATTATTTTTGCTTACAAATCAATTCATTCTGTTCCCCAAAATTTCCTTCAAATAATTTCTTATTAATTAAAGGCTGCCGATGTGAAATAACGAAGCGAACCTGCTATTTAGAAATGATCGTTTTATTGCGTGAAAGCAATTATGCTTCACAAAGGTCGTTCTTTGTTTGAAGTTTCGGCGCAAAACAAATTAATATCGGACCATTGTAAATACAATAAATCATTAAAAGTTATTCATGGAATTAATTAAAACTGCGATTGCCTATAACTCGGAATCAGACAAATTTGAGTTTTGACAGTGATTTAATGAAGAGTTGTACTTTTGTTGAAAGTTGCAGCTTTACTTTCCAGAGGTGTTCAACATTTTGTCGAATTATAATGACCATAGTACAGATAGGATATATAATCATTGCAAAAGACCACTAGTCATGAACGTAAAGCCATCACTAGAAACCTCCAGTGCCAATTTAGTGCTACGTATCTAAGTAAAATTTTAACTGCCAGTTAAACTGAATAGTTCTCAGTTTTCTATACACACGCCAGTTTTAAGAGCATAGCCCAATTGTTGAGTTAAAACTGAATAAAATTAGTGAGCTTAAATATATGGTTTATAACATTAAAAATTCAATACTAATATGCCAAAGAATTTATTTAACTAAAAGTCCCTAATTAGTGTTTAACATAATTTAAACAGGAACTTATCTAACTTACCTAAATATCTAGGATATTTTATAGTAATAAATTATATAAACTAACGTTTCCAGGAAACATTTCTACGTTTTCAATTTAAAACATTTCCATAAAGTATAAACACGTCGGATAAACTGAGCATGTTTGCAGCAAGGCAAACATATGTTTACTTTAAGTTTATGCTGAATCTATTTTCAAAGGCGTCATATTTGTAGCGTAACTCACGCATTATTGACACAAGAACGATATTAAATATTTGTTTAGACTGGATTATGAAATTTTAAATGTTAATAAAATATACATTAGTGTTAAAATGTATTCACTCATCGGTTTTATGTTGAAATGATCATAAAACACTTATAAAAATAAATCTATACCTATACTTAATATTATAAAGAGAAAAGATTTGCATTTTTGTACGTATTAAAATAACTCAAAAACTACTGGGCCGATTTTAAATTTTTTTACCGTTAGTTAATTTATCTGTGAATAACATAGGCTATGTTTTTTTTTTATTTTGCGCAGGCGAAGTTGCGAGCAACAGCTAGTCACAAATAAATGTATAATCGAGATAGTTTCCAAAAAATGTATTCCTTGTAATAAAATAACATTTTAGATGCAATATCAAGCAGAATAAATTGACCCTTAAAAATATAGTATGTACAACGACAGTTATAATAACCATTAAAAGGCTTCAACTCTGAAAGTAGCTTCAAGTATTCTTATTAGAAAAAAAAGCTTTGTCTACTTCCAAATTAAAGTCGAAAGTTTGCTAATATAAGGGTACAGGAAACATGCTTGAAGAGCTTAAACAACTGTTGCAAACTTGACGAAGTAATTTCCCCATCAAAAGTTATCAGTTCGCGTAACGATGTTGTAAGCTTAGATGTAACTTAGATGTGAGCACACATTGTGCGTGTAACAAACTTAACAATTAGTTCCAGCTTTGTTAACATAATCTCTACTTATATTATAAAAGCAAACATGAAAATATTTCCCATTTTCATGTTTGCTTTGAGTCAAATATGGTAGATATCTGATCTATATTAAAGATATCATCCGATATTAGTATTGAAATTCACTTAGAAAACCATACTTTATAGATACTAAGCTAAGTGATTTTTATATCGAATTTAGATGTAGAAGTTTTGTATCGGTAAAATAGAAAAATAGACTTTATATAAACCTCGTTCTTTATTAATAACACATAATTTGCTTATTTAAATAATAATAGATTTTTTTCATATCTAAAGTGACAATTTTGCCATTAAAAATCAATTATTGACCTTCAATAAGGGTTTTCTTTTATTTTTGATTTTTCTTTTTATTGCCAACATAATATCAAATATCATGCCCAAGTTTTGTCAACAATAAAATTTAACTGCTCGCTATCAAAGCCTTATTATATTAAACAACACTATTGTTCTATCTTTATGCGGCATAAAGAATGTCTCAAATAAAATTGACGATCCTCCAGGGATACAATGGCGTCATAAATTCCTAAGGGAGAGGGGGAATCAGAAACCATATTTCCGAAGACTTACGGAAGTATTTGGATCATAAAATATTTCGCCGAATTGTGAGCAATACAATAACGAATTAATACGAGTATACACTGGATAGCCAAAAACTCAAATATTAATAATATAAGACCTTTAGTAACTATAAAAACTAAGCTATGAATTGCTGTCATCTTTTAAAACACTTTGAATTTAAATGGTAAAACATTAAATTGTAATATGCTAGTAAATTGTCACAAATGCATAGATGAATATGTCATATTTATTTGTATTTTCTAATCAGATAATATAGGATCTGAAGAAATTAATAAACTTAACATCCATTTTACCTTGGATAGGATATTTTGTAGAACTGTACTAATTAACTGAATTTTATGAAATATCTAGATTACGAGACGAAAATATTTCATCATTAGAAACAATTACAAAAATTCATGGTATTTTCAAGGATAGAATTTTTTGAACAAATTTTAACAATTCCTTGAAAAAGCTTTTGATAAAAATACCATGAACAAAATAATAAAAACCTCTGTTATCTTATTTCTTAGTAAGATACCTTTCTAAATACCTGTACTTATAAATAAACAAATTTCTGAAGAACAGAATGTTAAATCATTAGCGGTCAATAACTAGTTCATTTACTCTGTTATATCGAAATACATGATAGGGTAAACCAACTAGTTATTGATCTGCAAAAGAATTTCTTTATTTATTTAACTCACCGATGGCGCTGTTAACAGTTGTAATGCTTCACTCAAATTCTTTAATGTGAGCGTATTCCTTTCCGCATCATCTTCATCTGGTCCAGAAAGATGTATGGACGATTGTCGCGAACGTAGCTCTGGCTTTTTACTGCTAGCTCCATTCGCGAACTGCTGTTGGGATGACGCACGACGGAACGGACACGTCATCTTTACCACTGTCTCAGAATTGTGCGACAAGTCATAGTAAAACAGTTTTTAATGTATTTTTTCGGGCATACGGAACCTGAAACAAAAGAAATGCGGTTATTTTTCATTGTTCACAGGAGAACCTTACTCATGAACGAGGTTTAAGTTAAGCGCCATCTGCGCTCGGCCACCTCAAGGCCGGTGAATCTGTAAATGCCTCTTCAATGCAAACAGAGGCCATTAAGTAAAAAAAAACAGGAGAAGCATAGAACAAATTAAATTCCATAAAGACATTCTTAAAATAGATAAAGGTAAAATATACCCAGAAGTTGTAAAAGTCGCAGATAATGTATTCGTAAGTGAATAAAAAAATAATTTTAAATTAGCTTATACTATAAAATAGTTCCAATTGTCTCGTGAACATTCCATCTATCCAGCTCATTATACGTCCCCACCGAGGGGCTCGGAGCCTACCCTAATACGGGGTGATTAGGCCATAGTCAACCACGCTGGCCAAGTGCGGGTTGGTTGACTTCACACATATCTTTGAATATCTTCGCCGATATGTGCAGGTCGCATCACGATGTTTTCCTTCACCGTAAGAACGTCGGGTAAATTATGTACATATGAAAATTCGAAAAATCGAAAATCACATTGGTACATGGCGGGATTCGAACCGAAGATCTGTAGATTACACGTCAAGTGTTCAAACCACTGAGCCACCGACGCTCTTAATAGTGAACATTACTCTATTATAATTTTACAAAAAATTCTAAGAGAAATCACATCGCAACATCCAAGACGCATGTTTATAGAACAAACATCTTAAGTGTTCAGTAAACAAATCAATTAACGCGCTACACGCAATAACTCTAAATAGATAAAGTTTGCATTAATCGAATCAGTTTCTAAGTTGTTTAGGTTATCATTACGTTTGTAAACTAAATTTTAATTTAAATAAAAATCTATTTGGATGTTTTTTTTTGCTGATTCATTAATTTAATTAGAAACGTAAATAGATCTTTTGCAGATTCAAGCTTGTGCATTAATATATGCATTGTAATATGGTAAATAAATACAGAAAGAAGACTTACAAATATACAGATATTTTGAGTAAAACTCTTTGCCAGTGTTCTAGTACCCTAGAGAATGAGTTCCCTATTTAGATTTGCAGTGTCAAATGTTCAAGTTGCCATATAGTCGTCTTCGATAGAAGGCGGCACCCAAAGAGTCAGTTTCGTTTTCATAAATATTTACAAAGTTTCAAATAATTAGTGTTTTATATATTAACAGTGGTAGTGCCCGCTTTAATATCTTAGCACGAATGGGCCGGCACGCCCGGTGTAATACCACAACCACACAGAAACAGGCGTGAAATGAAATGGAAGCAATTCCGTGTTTCGTCTGATGAGTGTGGTGCCGGAGGCCCAATTTAAGTCCCTTTCTCTTTACCACCCTTTTCTTATAAGGAGAGGTTGGAAAGAGGAAGTGGATTTGACGGTGGAGGAGATGCATAGGAAGGAGAAATAACCTCTTTATGTGCGTCTCCTCCTCCGTCGTATAAGGGTAGGCAACGCATCTACAATTGCAGATGTCTATGGGCAGCGGTCGCTTCGCCATTTTGGCGATTATAGGTGGCCGATTGCTCGTTTGCCACCTTATGTTATAAAAAAAAAAATTAGATAATTTATGCTCAATATCTGCCTACAAAGCTTAATTAAAATTATGTCAGTCACAAAATATGAAGGTATACCTTGAAAACTTTCCCGTAAGAGGCAAGTGCTTCGGAAAGGTGCAAAGTGGAACTTTGTCTTGAATGCAGGCGTTGCTAAATTTTGACGGGAGATATTTTAAATTAATTTATACTCTTGGAAGGTGAGAACTCCGAATCCTGCATATTATTCAGAATTTTCTACTCTATTTTGGGTATTTAGCTTCCATTTGCTGTTTTACAACGTTCGATAAAAAGCTTTGAAATAGAACAAATGCTTTTTCATACTCTGTTCATACGGCGACGTTTTTTATCACGCAATTTGATAACTGAGCGAAGTTAACAAGAGTTTTTTTAAACTTTCATATTAGCGTACTACCAAATACATAAACGACATTTAAAAACTTATGTTACCTGTTATATAATAAGGCCACGTTTAAATCCAAATTCCAATAAGATTGTGAATGAAGTGACATTTTTAAGATTAATTTGAATATTTATTCGGTAGTAATACAGATTAAAAATGCTTGTTTCACAATAATAAAAGGCATTCCCAGTGATGAAACCTAACATTTTAAATCCATCTAAGTAATTCCATTAACCTAAGTGTTCAAGAATAGTTGGAACGAGAATAGCCTCCGAGGTCGTAAGTAAAATCGACCTCTTCGAGACCTTAGTGAGTTTAATAACCAAGGAATGCTATTCATTTCCTTGATATTGCGTAGTAAACTATATAGAAAATCCATTACGCCCGAGGTCTGGGATGCAATGGAATTCATGTCGTCGCGTCCCGGTTTTATGGATATGTTCAATAAAAACTTATCTTTTCTTACACTTGCTACACTTACGAAAGTTTGAGTCTGTAATATAAATTAAATCTATCCAAAAAATATTTAATAATCGACCAACATGCAGACTTCGTTCTAATAATCGCCATTTCTTCTGTCATTCTAGTACATTAACATAAAGAATATAGCTCTTAGGTACACTTCCTAGAATTTTTCATTCTGTAAATTTACTCTATCAATATTTCTTCATTCATCCCAATAAAGTACTAGAAACGTAAAACATTTTATGCACGTTCGTACCACGCAAGCATCACGTAATTGTGCCCACGTACTCCCGTGTAAAAAGTAAAGCGTTGTTAATATAAATATACATCTACACAAACATTTTTAGCGATACAGGTATCTCAATCAATGTTTGAAGTGTGGAAACCGAGGCGGACTTGAAATAAGTCCATCCGCGCGCAAAATTAACTCGGCAACGTTTTCGTAATATAAATCATGAGCTATTCCTGTTATAGACGGAAATAGACATTTAACAGACATTTGTAAACTATGATAGTCAAATAATTGCATCAGCACCTCTTGTTAGATTGTATCTATGGTACAGTCAAATGCATTAAAACGAGCCTGTGTAGATTTACTTATCATCAGTGATATTCTCCACTTTAGTCACAGTGTGTACTGTTTTTTCCTACCTTTCTATCAGAAATATTAGAATTCGTCTTCCTCTACTTTCATAGTCACAATAAATAACATTTTCGTACTCTGTAAAATTTGCATAAAACTGGCTTTTATTATTCTACCTAAATATCCGCTCCTGACACCAAAAATGTAGCACAAAACGTGTATATTTTTAGATGTTTCTAACCTAAAAGTTTTCGTTGTACAGTTGTGTACATCAGCTATTTAAAGTTTGTGTAATTGTTATGTAATCATGTCTCAGTAAATGTTTCTTTTATAAATTATCAACAACTAATCAAAGATCAATGATGTATCATTTTAAATTGAAAATGTCTTTCATCACTATGGATTCTTCAATTCGTAGCGGTCTTACGCTTGTTTAGTAAACTTTAAGAGTATTTCAAAGTAGTTTGTAAACATTCAACGCCTCTGTTAATTCAAGCCAAGGTTCTTGAACTGTTGTTGTTAGGTAACGCTGAATATCGGAGATTCTAGTTTAAAATACAATGTTACAATATCCATCAGTAAATAACACTTCAACAGAATAAGAAAATTGCAAGATCATGTTTTTCGTTTACCTAGTTTCTGCCTTTACATATTGCTCGTAACTTCTATCTTAACCTACACCAGGAGTAGCAAACATTTACGTATTCAAGTGCCATTTTTTATGTTTTAAAATGACCATAGATTTGCCATCAAATAATTTTATTGGGTAGATATATCATTATAGTGATCACTTCGCGCAAGCTCCTTATATATTTAATACTAGTTTTCGCAGAACATATTGAATTTTAATATGTTAATTCTCGCATGCCAATGATATACTATCCCTGTACAATACCAATCGATTCAATTTTTAAACAGTAACACTGTATTGGTACTAAAAAGAGCATACAAAAGTAGAATACGCATAGCATGTTGAAACCTCACACACGTCGGCAACAGACAACATAAACAATAATCCTATTAACATTCCCGTAACGCGGAATAATTTATGTGTTCTTTTGTAATCCTTGAATGAATGATAAATGATAAATGGCAAGGGGAGTGAAATATAACCGCATTGCGACTTAACTGAACGTCAAAAGCACTTTAAAACAATACGCGTGAGCGTTTATATCTCTCGGTGTACCTACGTCTTTCATTATGACTATTCCTCTTATATTGAAAAGACTATCACGGTTTTATCATCATTATAATCAAACAAAAGAGTATAGGATCCAAAAAGAATTTTCACCCAAGGACGGCTAAAGCCCCTAACCCATAATTGTCTTGACCAGATAACCAGAACATGGACTGTAGTTATCATCTAGTCCATATCAGATGTCTAGACATCAATCATTGTCATAGACATCATTGTCAGCAATGTTTATTCATTGGCCCTTCAAACGACCTTCTAAATTGTAACAAAATTATTGTTAAAGTAAGACGGTAACGGCCGAAACAAAACTACATTTTCATCTCTTGTGAATTGTATTACAAATGTTTTAAATAATAAAGCCTCTCAAGTGACTTTAAATCAAAACACGACTCTATATGAAATTAATTAATAATAAATGATTTAACCTTCTCTGCAGAACGTCCACGAGTATTAATTTAGGAACTATCTCCGTTTAAAGGTCTGGTGTGACCTACATTCTTAATTAGAAATTCGTATTAGATCAACGTAGCTTGATTAATCAAATATTAACGAAGTTATGTGATTAGCGTTTTGCCTTAAATGGTATCCTAAAGTGGAAAAAAAACTAGGATTAAACTCAAATAGTTACTAGGATTTTTGCCTTCAATTATCAAATCAGCAGATATGAAATCGGCATTTTTCATTTTAAACCTTAAAGATTTTAACATTTTAACAAAAGATTCAAGTTACATTTTTATAAATTACACTGGTAATAAAAGAGACAAGGTAAAAAATTA